AGTTACACCACTGTCCCAGGTTAGGTAGAGGGTTAAGTGCTCACAAGCACAAGCATATTTAACCCCGCAACATTCCTTTTGTTTTTGTCTCAGTCCATGAACCTGTAATCCATGCAGTGGTTGTCGTTGAGTTTTGTCTGCCATAACCTTTTTCATTTATTGTTGTAATATAAATCTTGTCGTTTTTTTTCTCTTTCGTAATATTTTACGCTGTGTCATCCCTGGCACTTTTATAGATCAATATACTATATGGGTTTTGCCCATTGCTAAAGGTTATAGAAAACTAGTAAACGTTTCTTTTATTTGAACCGTCTATAAATCCAGGATATAAGGTTTATCATTCAGGAAGAACAAGCTTAGGACAGAATAGAAAGAGTATAAACAATAGAAGACGTAGGGACAGCAACCAAACGACACAAAAACAATATACACCTAGAGGTCAACATACGTTCTTTACTTTTATATCTTTTGGAATAAGGTATATGAGAAAAAAAGATATTGGTTGAGTATAGTTTCCATCAAAGTTCAAATAAACATGTTATATATTACCTTAATAAAAGAACATCATTGTTGAAGGCCGTACGATGACCTAAAGTTGTTAACTTCTACGTCACTTGGTTCCTGGTGGAAATTTGTCTCATTGGCAATCATACCTCATCGTTTTATTTTTAAATGAGTTCAAATAATTTCAGAAATATGGATTATTAATGAACAGAAAATACGCTTAAAATAATCTATTGGGGCAATATGAAGTTTGATACCGATCAATTCAACCTAGATGAATCTAATATCCAGGTACCATCAGCACATCAATATTGTTCTATGCAGCACCGTATAACAATGATTGTATAAACATATCAAATAAACATGATCCAGTAAAACAAGACAACTTAGAAAAAAACAACCTTTTCCTTGTATGAACAGTGAACTAAGAAGGGTCATATACCCGAGGCCATATAAGGGTAAACATGTGCTACATATACAATATACCAAGCAATGAACTTAAAAAAAAACAAGCGAAATTTGTTTACTAAGCTTAAAAAGAAATGTATGAAAATTTATTTCAGAGAATGTTGCTCAGTTGGGTCCAAAACTGACAATTTCTGGTCAAAAATTAAACTTTTTAGAGAAAAAAAGTGTCATTCTGGAGAACAACGAGTAGTTTTATTAGAAAATAATTAAATCATTAATGATACTAAACAGGTATCAGAACATTTTAATCATGCTTTTTTCTCTACTGTTTCCAATAAAATCGACAATGATGTGATACATGTATATGACTCTTCAAATCACCTTAGCAAAAATACCTTTACGACAAAAGAGATGATTTCAGCTTCCCAATTGTGAACTTTCCATTTCTATGTACAACATTCAAGCAACCTGCATATAGAGTATATATTTCCCAATTGATACGATATTCCAGAGCTTGCATTTCCTATCATGATTTCCTTGATAGAGGGTTGCTGCTTACAAGACAGCTATTGAACCAAGATTTCCAAGTGGTGAAGTTGAAATCATCCCTTCACAAATTTTACGGACACCATCACGAGTTGGTTGACCGTTATGGAATATCTGTTTCACAGATGACGACGGATATGTTGAAATTGTTGTAACCACAATCCCGTCCTTTTTTGCTCGAATGTGACCTTCCGAATTAGACTTATCACCTGATGTGTACTAACATGAGCAAAACGACGGGTGCCACATGTGGAGCAGGATCTGCATACCCTTCCGGAGCACCTGATGTCATCCCCGGTTTTTTGGAGAGTTTCGTGTTGCTTAGTCTTCAGTTTTCTTTGTTAGCTACTGCTACATTGTGAAACAGTCTTCCAGGCCATTCCAGAACAGATAACAGTTTTCTCAGTTTAAGAGTCTCGAGTCTTATACAATCCTGGAATGGCTCGTAATGTCGCTGTTCTGCATGTAGATGAGATAAGATTTCATTTCATTTTATTTTCCCTATGCTTATCTTACTCTACTTTGCTCTTTTATAGTTATGCTAGCATGTATAATTTGATTTGTAATGTTTGTGCTAAGCTTACTTTTATGTTTGCTTTATCTAATACCGGGGTATGTGTTTGCTTGCACGATTGTGTTTTTTATGTTTGTATATATTCGGTTGAACTCTCTATAAAGCTTTTGTTTTGTAGTTGATAACTACACCGAATTTAGATAAAGCTTTCGTTTCGTATAGTATCGTCGTTTTTAATTCATGTAACTTAAAACACTTTCGGACACCTTGTTATGAACAAGTTGGGATACTGAACAGAAACAATGTTTTTTTTTATTATTATAATGTTTAATTCGATATAGATTTATCAAAATGACGTTTTGGACTCGTCTTCAACGAACATTTGTTTGCAGAATGCGAGACAGATTTATATTTATCCGGTTGTGGCGTTTATTCGTTACAAAAACGTTATGTCAGACGGTATGAGAACTAAGCAGTCCATAGTGTTGTGTAAATAGATGGCGCCCATGTAGCGAATGGCAGTTGATCTTTACCTCATTTTCATGGTTCAAGTACATGCTAAAGTGAACTTAAAATTTTCATACTTAGATCAGGTTCTCATCTACTATAAGTTATATGTTAATTATTCTTTAGTCTAGACGATAGTTACAACTAGTACATGGAAACTGAACAGAATTTCAATTTTAAATACATATAAAAAAGGCCACAATCTGGTTAATAAATAGAGCTTTTCCAAAAGCTTAAATGCTAGGTAAAACTAATCTCTTCTTTAAATAGTACATTAAAGGCTCCAAAGTCAGTTCATTGTGGTGATATAATCAAAATACGTTGAGCGTGTGCATTTTCCTGACAAAACTAAACGCTCCACTATATCAACCAACGGAACGACTGGAAAACAACTGTCATATTCCTAACTTGGTAAAGGTATATTCTTAATAAAATGGAATATAAAACCGAGTTTTATAGCAAGCTAAACCTCCCACTTATAAATAGTATATTATAAACTCAAAAGTCCGCTCATTTTGGTGATAAAAACAAAAAACGTTGACTGTGGATTTTCCTGACAAAACTAAACGCTCGACTATATCAACCAACAGAACGACTGGAAAACAACGGTCATATTCCTAACTTGATTCAGGCATTTTCTTTGCAGGCATTTTCCAAAGAAAATGGAAGGTAAAACCGGGTTTTATGGCAAGCTAAACCCTCACTTGTATGACAGCTGTTTATAGTTTCATTATATTGACAACATTATGCGAGAAACTCAAACAGACAAAATTGGTTAACATGACAATAATTGGGATTCAGCAGCCAAAATTGTGTAAACTTGCATCATATATACAAAAAATAAAGGACTTAAAAAATCCAAACAAACCTAGAAAAAAATCTAACAAAGACGCCTACACAAAAAAATTTTGTAGTTGCTAGTACAGTATAGTAAAACATAAAGACGTATACACTAAATCGATAAAGTACAATTTAAGTTAAATAAAAATACAAGGGTATACAAAATGAAAACAATACTATGCAAACCTCATGTGTCCGAACCTCTGAACCCACCGGCATTCGGAACGCCAAAAGTAAAAAAAACGAAACCTGGACACACAAATACCGTCTCACGACCAGAAGGAACATAATAGTACAAAGACAAATAATAATAAAATTGCAAAGTAAATAAAATGGTACACAACGTTAGCACCTTCATTTTATAGTTCACGACCATCTTATATTTTTTGTGAAATTGACACTGAATATTTATATAATAGGTCTTGGTACCTTCCGATGAATTTTTTTTTTAGAAAACGGACGAGAAGTTCTTTGTCAAAACCTTGGCTACTAGTAATTTTTTTTTTACTCAGCCACCGATTACAAAGTCTGAGTAGCGGCTGCAAGCTCTTGAATATAGTATGAGATGAGAAATAGTTACTCTTTACTCGGGCGAAGTTGTCGTTTGTCACAGACTCTGGTACTGAGATGACCACTGGAGTAATTTTTTAGGTATATGTCTAAATATGATGTAGAACAAGGTGTGTCTGATATATTTAATCTGTAGTTCAGGAGGATATATTAATAGAACCCAAACAGAAAAGTTTGGATTGTTAATGGAGAAAACATAAACAATATACCTCTACGGAAAATTAAATGATCTAGCTTCTTATGGATCGTCTTGTTCTTTATTGTCTGAAGGAACTGCGACTCATACGAAAATAAAAACAGGTCGACAAGGAGAGCCACACAATTGGATCCCATAGTTATGCTGACAACCTGGTGGATAATTTTACCTCCAAAGTCAACAAATATCTTATTGATGAGAAACTCTAGCATACTGATCACTTGTTCTTCGGTGTAACATGTTATCAGCGGGTTCAATTTTAACAAAATATGCCGAATTGTATCCTAAAACAATATATTTGTAGCGTATGGTATCCTTTTTATGGAGAAAAGCTTTGTGGATTATTTCTTTTAGACGGGTTTTCAATTTTTCATATGGTATGCTGGTGTAAAGAATGGAAAAATCGAAGTGTTTGATAGAATTAATTTCAGTAAAGGTCAACGATTAAAAAAAATTCAGAAGTTATTTAAATTACAGTTCTTTAGAATCCACTTAAGAATGCACATATGGTATTCTATTTTCTATATAGATTAGACCGTTGGTTTTCCTGTTTGAATTGTTTTACACTAGTCATTTTGGGGCCCTTTATAGCTTGCTGTTCGGTGTGAGCCAAGGCTCCGCGTTGAAGGCCGTACTTTGACCTATAATTGCTTACTTTTACAAATTGTGACTTGGATGGAGAGTTGTCTCATTGGCACGCATACCACATTTTCTTATATCTATGTACATGTTATAAGATCTATATCTCTACGACTGTCAAAATGTTATTACATGTTTTCCAATTATGAAATTCGCGAGGTATAACCCTTGATTGCTGTATCAATGATGCTAATGGGTGATAGTTAAACCCGGTTTGCTATCTTATTGAAACCCTATTGGGGCCTTTATGTTAACATTTTCTCTAATTGACGTCGCTCACGAATTTAGTTTTTTATTTATTCAAATTGACACTATATAGAAACAAAACAAAAAATGCACTTGGGAGGAAAATCAGACAAAAAAGGAAAAGAATCTTTTGGTTGAATGTATTATAATGGTTCTGCCATTAAATAAATAAATCGAATTTACAGAGTATATTACCGAACAAACACAGCAATCTCTTTTATTATAAGCCACGAAGTCTGACTTTTGGTTACTGTTATTCTTAAACAGCCGAACAATTTTATATTATATTTTCTACCTACGTCACTTGCAACGACAGAACCATTTCTGAAATTTCCTAAATGGTATTTATCATAACATATGATCCTGTTTTTGCCGACTGGTCGACAACTTATACATGCATCTAGCTGTGCATTCTCTAGTTTGTCATTTGGATGCTCTTTACCTCCAGTCTTAATAATGACATTTTTTATGCTTTGTGGTCTGTGAAAAATAATGTGTATGGTATCATTCGCAACTGGTGACGAATTAGACCAGAAATATCCATTAAAAACCGAATATGCCGCTTTGAGATCAAATTTCGGTAATGATGCCAGGGTTGTAAATAATTCAGCTTTGGGATTATGTCCTTTTAAAAATTTCCTTGTATCCAAAACCCTAGGATTGACATATGTAATCTTTTCCAATAAAGAAGAATATAATCCCACATGGTTAAAGACGTTCGGTTTTCGTTCGATTTTAAAATCTTGTAAATAAATGAAATTGAAATGTCTTAATAAATAGTCTATCGGTTGCTCATCATAAAATAACATGATATATTTGGCCAGTTTTTCTAGGTCATGTGAATGAAAAAGTTTCCCTATAAATCCATGTTGACAAAATTCTAAGCATACCCAGGGTATCTTTTGAACTGAGATGAATTGTTTAATGGCATCAAAATAAGTTGGACTGGTTTTAATATCGTCCTCAATTTGAATGTAGTATTTTGAAATATTCTTGCTGTACAACCAAAGATACGCGTAATCAATGTTTTGTTTTGAACGCCATTTTATTCTTGATGCACTGTCATTAAATGTTTGTTTCAAGTTGTCTAGCGGTGGGTAAAATCTATAAGGAGCTGTAATGATTTGAATGGTATTGTTGTTAACCAATGCCTTGTATCTTCGTTCTATATCTTTTGATGTTATTTTCTTCCATGTTGTGTTAAAATCTGCTAGAAAAATTACTATACAGATTTGTGAGATTTGTGATTTAGAAGTTGCATTTAGTAGTGAATCAATAGTATACCACAAGTAATATGCACGGGGTCGCCAAATTGTAGGAATTCCTATCGTGAGATATCCTGAAAATGAAGGGAAAAATGAATGAAATTTGCAAATATATTATAATGTGTCTGTGTGTGTGTGCTTTATCATCTCAACATTAGATTGCAGTTATTATGGGTTTGTTTTTATTAACCAAGTTGCAACATTTCGGTCTAAAACGGTCATTTGATCTCATCAGGTCTTATAGACGCTCTTAGACCAATTCAATCTAAAGATTAGAAAATAACGTTTGGATTTTGTCAGATCGTACATAGTGGGAGATATATTGTAAAAAATCAATTTCTAATTATTGATTAACATTTGCTTTTGGATATAGTAAGTTTGAGATACCACAAAAAATAGAGCAGACAGACAAAGGAATAGCATGAGTTTACGTTTGCTTTATAATTAAGAAGATGGTTATAAACTGTATACATTTGTATAAATCACTAAATTACTAAATTAACATTTGAACATCAACCTGTTGATTTGTTTGCATATTAAATTTGGCGTAATTTGTTCTCCTGTTGTTAGTAAAAACATGTTTAAATTAATTTATATTTACGTTTTTGAATTCGTTCTTCTTTCAAACTTCCCGAAGTTCTTGTAATAGAACTTTCATGAGAAGGCTATTAAAAATAAAAAAGAGATTTTGTAAGCTTTAATATCATATATAGAAATTTGATTTCTTGTATGAATCACAGACAACGTTAGCCCAATGTCAACTTTTTGGCATTGCACAAGGTCATGTTTTTTGACTGTCAATAACGTCTTTACACCTTATCCTTTGGGTGTTGGATGTGTACTGATTGATATTTTAGTCTTAGATACATGATTTTTTTATTAGTTGTTATTGGCTTTGAACTACCTGTCAGCATGGTCAGTAACTGCGAGTACTGTAAGATCTTTACTCTGTGTCTTTTTATATTTTTATAAATACCCTGCTTCGTCCAATCTGCGTTTTTGTTAGATGTTTTTTATGCTTTGTATTGATCTGATGAGTTAAGCCCTTTTCAACTGAATTTTATAGTTTGTTCTTATGTTGTACTGTTACATCACTGTCCCAGGTTAGGGGTTGTGTACTTTTACAGATTTTCTTGTATCCAAAAATCCCAGGATTAACATACGTAATCTTTTATGGTAAAGAGGAATATAATACTAAATGGTTAAAAACGTTCTGTTTTCGTTCGATTTTAAAATCTTGTAAAAAAGATAAAATTGAAATATCGTAATAAATAGTCTATCTGTTGCTCATCATAAAATAACATGATATGTGTGTCAAACAGATACAGATGTATGTAATCAGTATAGTCCATAGATTGTATTTCCAATATTTATGATGTTGAATATATTGTTCATGTTTTCATGGCAAAACAAATAGAATATTGCAAAAAGGGACAAGAAAATGTATCATTTGCCGCCACAGTTAGGTCCTTAGTAGAATTTTCATCCCTTTGATCGATACATTGCCCTAAAGAATTGACATTAATCTACAAAAGGATTTGATTCAAATAAAAAAATACATGGATTTGCTGTAACATTTCACCACCATGTTTGTTTTTAAAACAAGCATTGTTCTGACATGAAGTCAGGATACACCACCGAGGGTATCACCAGTCAAGTAGCCAGTACTTTGGTACTAGCCTGAAAATACGGATATTGTTAGTTTTAAATTTGCTATTGTAAAATTTTGGAAATAATTTAAATTAAGGAACATATCTCCCTCGTGCAAAACTCTTGATTCCTTGTCCGGATATACCTATACTTTAGGTCTTTTTTGGTTAGATCAGCCCTTCAACGTTTTTATTAGGTTTTTGATTTTCAAACAATTTGGTCTCGAGCATCAATGAAGAGACATTAATTGCCAAAATGCGCATCTGGTGCGTTAAAATTTATATCGTAAATTTTATCATTTGTATTAGAAGATGTGTTAGTCTTGTTTCAAATTGTCTCATAGGTTTAGATAAAAAAAATTGCATATGATATATTAGGTGTTCAACATTATCAGAAGCAGTTTTGAATTTTTAACAAGTTTTTTATAAGGGTGTTAAACATCTTGAATTTTTTACACTAACTTTTCTGTAAAAGGAATGGAGTGACTGTCTAAAGTTTTTACGGAAATAAGAACCTCATTTTTAATAAGATGTGACCGTGAAAAGAGAGGCGGAAGATACCAAAGGGACATTCGCATTGGCAAAAAAAAAAAGAACAAAAGACAAACAACAGTGTGAAATTTTCTTATTATTAGGATTTACCAAAACAATTAGGCAGTAAACCAGAAAACAGCAACTAACAACAACGGACTCTTCCAAGAAAATTGACATACGATTTGATTTTGATTTTTGGTGTTTTAACGCCACTTTTAAGCACCGCTTTTGGGCTATTTCGTGGCGGCCAGTTTTTATTGGTGGAGGAAGCCGGAGTGCCCGGAGAAAACTACCGACCTTCGATAGGAAAACTGACAATCCTAGTCAAAACGAAGACAAACAATAACGAACCTCAAATGATATAGTCACGAAATGTGGACCCGCTGTTTACAGTACACATAATCTACGGCTTAAAATTGACTTATGGTAATAAAGTCACATTCTAGATATTCTAAGCAAGCTTTAGTTTATCAATTGTATTTGATCGATCTACTCCTTCTTAGCTATACAAATTTAGTTACCGCACTTTGACTATATTACTTGATCCTTATCCACAGTGGTAAACATTGGCAGATGCGATTCTTGGATTTTCAACACTTTTACAAAAAGAGGGGGAGGCGGCAGTGCAGGCAGCCAACAATGTGTACATTCAATTCTTCAAAAGGAATGTAAAAAGTTTAACGGAATGGAGAATATGATTTCCAAAAGGTGGGACTGTAAATTATCTTTGAAAGTATAGCACTGATCTCTTTTTTACATAGCCTTCATGTGTAGAACTGTAGGACAAAGGTTAGTTTAAATATATATTTGAGTAATAAATCATTTTTTAAAGAATGTACCATAAGCATTGTATAGAAAGTTGAAAAAAGACGTAGACGCTTGTTCAAAGATGTTTGAATAAATCAAAACCTTACACATTAATATTATACGGCATTGAAAAATTTATAAAACAGCAACCACAAAAATAAATTCCGTTTTAGAGTTGAATGGTTTTTATCTTGTTTAATTAGTAAGAGTACAAGTAGGGTTGAATAGTGGTAAGTTACATACCCTATTCCAACAAATCTTCAAAATTCATAAATAATAAAGAAAATTATCGAAGAGTTGTGGTATAGTATCATTTGAAGGTAATTATAGCTATTTGAAGGATACTACTTGACTAGCAACGAAAATATCATCGTTAATAAAACTCAAGCGCTGCATGCTTGAGTAAAAAGGTTTTACTTTACTTTCTTTAAAAATAAAAGCAATCGCGAACCTGTAAATCAAGTTGGTTTAAAAGATTAGAGGAGAAATGCTTTAGAGAAATTATTTATATTCCTATGAAATGAGGAAGCTGGCATGGATTCTTAATGTAACTGCTGTTAGATTTTCAAGAAGACAATGGTTTTTAAAAGGGCATGTTCCAGTTGAAGAAATCGTTTCCGACAGATAACACAACATACTTAAAATGAGGCATCTACTGTTAACAATTAGATTGTGATATAGACAAATTTGTTAATGAAACCAGTTTTTTTGTTTTGAAAAAAATTTATTGCAACATATATTTGTTTTCGTAAGCCAGTTTGAAAAAAAAATCAAACCTATCCTAGTGTACTTATTTGTTTATCTCATATTGAAACCGGTTTAGAAAATCATTCAAAAACGCTGGTTTAAATGGTTTGATCATTGGCTGTAATATTCAAGATAGGTTTGATATAAACCTGTTTATTACACAGGCAACACATTCCAACATACTTTTTAAATATACAAAATCAGTTTGAAATCTCATGTTAAAGGTTTTTTTTTAACAAACTCGCCTTAATGATTCAGGTATATTCCTTTTTCAAAATTAAACTTGAGATAATAAAGAAGTTGTTACAAATTTGTCTGCCAGACAGAAGGAAGCAGAAATACCTGGGTCAATAAAGTAAACCTAAAGCCAAGTCAGAAAACAGAGATTACTTGTATGTAGAGTTAAATAATTGTCCAATTTTTTGCAATTCTCCACAAGAAACCAAATAACACAGAAATTAAGAACTATAGATCACCGTACGTCTTTCAACAATGAGCAAAGCCCAAACCGCATAGGCAGCTACAAAAGGCCCCGAAATGACGAATGTAAATAAAGGCAACAGTAGTATACCGCTATTCGAAATTTATAAATCGATAAAACAATTTAAACGAGAAAACTAACGGCCTAATTTAAGTACAAAATAATGAACAAATAACAAATGTGTAACATAGTAACAAATGACAACCACTGAATTACAGGCTCCTGACTTGGGACAGGCACATACAGAATGTTGTGGGGTTAAACTCGTTTAATGGCGTCAACCCCTAACCAGGGACAGTGGTGTAACAGTACAACATAAGAACAAACTATAAAAATCAGTTGAAAAAGGCTAACTCATCAGATGGATACAAACAGAAACACATCTACATCTAACAAAAACACAGAGCGGATGTGGACGGGTACTTGTACACCCAAACAACAAAAAGACACCAAGCACAGATCAGAGATCACTCGCAGTTACTGACAGCAAGTTCAAAGCCAATAACAAAAACAATATTCAAAGATCCAATTACAGTGTTCAATTGGTAACTTTTTAGAATAAGTTTATTTAAGGGTGTATTCTTCTGACGTTTCAGTCTCGTTGAAATCTCGTTCTGGAACTATTTCCAAAACATGTGATACAAGTGGAAAATATCAATGAAATTAAAAAAATATTATAATCAAACTTAACTCTGTGAAAAAATTGTGTATTTACAATAAGTAGTTTTTGAGTAATAAAATTTTCAAATTTTATAACCAATCAAGTCAGTCTCATTAGCCAAAATGTTGGAAAAATGGGTGAGTGGTACAAGAAATGATTTTACCAGATACATGCTCATCCCATATCAATTTTGTCTCTTCAAATTTCTTAAATATGTATTTTTTCAATCATTTATAACAAAGAATTTTAAATAATATGCTTTTCTTCTAAAAAAAAGAGAAAAATCCCAAATTTGCAAAATTGACATCATGGCAAATTTGACACAAAAAAGCAACACAATTTTATAAAACTTTCTTATATTAACACCTACCTATAGTTTTTTTAAGTTAAATTTATTCAGATTGGTCCACTTCATCTTCAGTGAAAGTATGAAAAAAAGTTTAATTGTGAAACTGTGATTTTTTTCATGATAATAGCCCCAAAATGGGTAAAAATTGATGAAAAATGGAAAAATCATCACAATTGGGTACTTTCAAATGGCTGTAGCAAAAAAAGAAGTGCACCACCATATGATTTTTTCTTCACCAATTATTTTTTTACAGTCATATACACCTAAAATCAGGTTAAGAAAAAAAGTTTAATTCTAGAAATGTTTGGCTCCTCAGAGGTGTACATCCTTAAAGGATCGATAAGTTTACCCGGATCGTATCTAATTCCCCGGGCCCGGTAAACAACATATCCGTAAAAATGAGGATGTGCTATCCCGTTTGAAGTAAGTTTTCTACAGGTACAACCAAACTTCAAAACCAAACCCCTACATCCATGGAAGAACACAGCAAAGGCCTCAAGCAACCTGTGGTAACGAAATCCCTGACTTAATTATTTACCAGTAGTACATAGATTACGTTCATTAAAATCCAAAACGTCACAACAGACACAGGCATAGCAAACGAGTTGTGATACATAAACACATATCCAATTGACAGGAATACTAGTACTAAAATCTATGTCGCAGATGAATATGGATATGATCAACTTTTTGTAATCACAGTCCCGTCGTCCCCTTTTCCTTGATTTTAATATTGTCAAATTCTTTTCACTTGCATTAGCAATACGTCAGGTGTCACATGTAAATCAGGGGCTATTTAACCTTCTGGTGCAGCGGGGGTTTTTTTGTGGGTTTCATGTTGGCTGATCTTTGGTTTTTAATGCAATGTTTAGTTTTAGTTTTTTTTTTTTTGTCTTTTCGTTGTTTCCGCCCGGCGTCAAAATTTCAACCCCTTCAATAGGTCAACCTTCCTTGCATAACCTACCTATTGTATCAATTGTTAACTCATTCTACACCTTAATATGCATGGGATAGTTTCCACTGGACATTTAAAACAAGCAATAATCAATTTATCTCTTGAAAACCATGTACACAGTTAGGACGTCTTAGTATAGCGCTATGCAGATCTTTATCATTTCAAATAATAGCACATGAAGTTTTCTTTTTATCCCATCAAATTCTAAAATGAAATTAACCTTTTCTTCTTTCGAATTTACAAACAAACTTGAGTAATTTCTTCTTCTATTCTATGCTAGTGTCCAATGACCAAACTGATTTAAATCAGTACTCATTCTTCCCGTGTTGTTTTTCTTTACATTTGTTTGATAGTACAGGATACAATTATTAGTAAAATAGGCATGCATTGTGTAATATTGTCTTAAAATTGTCGTATATTTTTCTTCTTTACAAAACCATTCCATAGAATTGAAATGACTAAATAAATTCAGGTTAAATGTCGTTAAATAATCATATTTTTTATTGATTGTTGTTTGCTCAACGTCCTGTGGCTAACATGTCATGCATGTCCAGAACGAGAACACATTAATAATATGAACAGTAGCTAGGTTCGGAATGATAGTCCGACCAGGATGAAGGGTGGAAAATTTGGACAATCACTGGAAATGTGGGTATATTGAATAGGGGGAGAAATTTAGACTAACAATCAGAGTGATCATATTTGTAGGTAAACGGACAGAAAGTCACAGGACAAAAAGTCACAGGACATAAAGTCGCAAATTTGATAGGACAAAAAATCACAGGACAAAAAGTCACAAATAATTTGTTGACAATTGTTTGAATGTACAAGAGAAAGATCTTGAAATATTTTTCTTTTTATTACATATATTCATTTTTAAGTTTAGGAAATTGTTCATAAGCTTTGATAAATGAAAATTTATTAAATTTTAATCATGCAAAGGATATATTTCTTGGCACAATGAAGCCATTTAAGTACCAAGCCACTTTAACATTTTGTTTTCATAGCAATTATTTGATCATTATTGATATTTATTGAATAAATTTTAATTACAAAGTTGCTTCATATATAATAGTTCAAGAAAAAACAAAAAAAATATTTTTTAAATTATTGTTTTCTTGTTTAAAGAAAAATAATCTCAAAACTGAATTGTGACTTTTTGTCCTGTGACTTTTTGTCCGTGACTTTTTGTCCGTGACTTTTTGTCTGTGACTTTTTGTCCTGTGACTTTCTGTCCTACATTCTATTTGTATACCCCAGTCGCCCATGGTGTACACTCGATTTTAATGTAGTTATCATTCTTTTGTTGCAATTATAGTGTGACACGTAGAGGAACTTCGCCTTACAGCTTTGTATGTAGCGTAACAACGTTGCGCTTATTTGGACGTTTTCAGCTTTTTTTCTGTTGTATACAGAACTCAAATAAATGATAAATGATGATTACACAAACAACAATTTATGTGACGTTATTATTATCCTTATTCAAACAAACAAAATATCTGGCAAACTGTTTTTTTTTTCTTTCCTTCTTTTTCATAGAAAAGTATATCATCTGATATTGTAGGAATGCAGAGTAAGAGATAATTTTGAGAACTTTCCTCATTGAATTTTGTATGCCAACAAATCAAACACTAATAGACAAATTAACATCTGCGTCATCTCCCGTTTACTGCTCCTTGACTTTAATTCAATACGATCAATATAGAATACAATATCAACACAAAGAATTATAGCAAAGCCGGAATGCTCTTTTTTATGAGTACTCATCATTACTCCCTTTTAATTATTACAATAAAACATTTCTATATTACACTTAAATATTATCAAAGCAAAGGCTATGTAAATAGTCCTCCAACCCAAAGAGTCAATATGAAGTTAGAACCTTAACTTTGTTCTAATCGTAATGCACATTGACATAATTTTTTAGTTGTATGTGATGACAAAGGGAACGAATTTCCGATAAAAAAAACAGTACATGAACGGGTGTCTGACTTCCGGAACATCTGAGATCTACCACGTGTTTGGTCTCAGTCTATAGTTCTATGTATGTACCCCGCTGCATTTGTTTGCACCTGTCCTAAGTCAGGAACCTGTTTCAGTGGTTGTCGTTTGTTGATGTGGTTCTTAAGTGTTTCTCGTTTCTCGTTTTTTATATAGATTAGACCGTTGGTTTTCCTGTCTTAATGGTTTTACACTAGTCATTTTTGGGGCCCTTTATAGCTTGCTGTTCGGTGTGAGCCAAAGCTCCGTGTTGAAGACCGTACTTTGACCTATAATTGTTTACTTTTACACATTGTAACTTGGATGGATAGTTGTCTCATTGGCACTCATACCTCATCTTCTTAGGGAGCTACCGTTTGATTTTTATGGGGGGTTGGGGGTTGGGGGTTGGGGGGCTAGGATGAAATTTGAAAAAAGGCAGGACAGGAGTTTTGAGTAAAAAAAAAGTAGGATGAGCAACTTGGCAAAAAAAAGGCAGAATGACAATTTATGTAAAAAAAGTCAGGATAAACTAATAAAAAAAAAGGCAGGACCGAATAGAGTGAAAAATAAAAAGGCAGGACAGAGATTACAACTTAAAAAAAAGCAGGACAAAATTTTTCATCCTAGCCCCCCCCCCCCCCCCCCCCCCCGTAAAATTCAAACGGTAGCTCCCTTATTTCTATGTAGTGTTTTGTTGACTTCTTTGTTTTTTCGTCGTTATTCGTTTTTTTTTACCATGGCAATGTTAGTTTCTCCTTGACTTAAATGTCACTCCCCTTGGTGTCTTCTGTCTCTTTTTTATACATTGTAACTTACAATTATCTTCAGTGGTGTAAAGTTCATTCGATATACCAACTCTGTCTTTTGGTCTTCTAAATGTTGTCCAACACCATTTCCTAAATTATTAAAGCATTTCTTGTTTGAACCATTAAAATGTAATTAAGTACCTTATTTATAAAGAGTTTTTCAAACATTACTGATTTTTCTTAAAAAGCAAACTCTTGTTTACTCATTTCATTAAATAGATGTGACAAAGCATTCAAGAAAGATTAATAGGGTTGCAATTTCACAAAATTAAGTATTTTTTAAACAAAAGAATACCTCAAACCATGAAATAGACAAGGATGTGAAATATATGAAAGTTCTATTCAGGAAAATGTTGTTTATGTATAAAGTTTACGTTATTGCTGCTTTAATCTCAAAGTCTAGCCCGCATGGCACTTGTATTGAATACGTAGACCGTGCATTAAAATATATTTATATGATGACTAATATACATGTAGTCATCATATATGTACAAAGGCCTCGGTGGCCGAGTGGTCTAAGTAGAGGGGGGGGGGGGGGGGTGGAGAGAAAAAAGGGAAAACAAGTAGTCGAATTACTGTAACACTAGCCTGTCAACACCGAGGTTGTGTGTTCGAATCTCGCACGTGGCAGGTGTCTGCACCTATCAAGCACACCAGTGTTTTCTAGTGGCTGTCCAAATGTCCAACCCTTCATCCTGGTCGAATCATATTGCAGGGCCAACTTAGTGTATTTATAGTTTATTTTTGTCAACTTAAACTTTCATGAAATACTTCTCACAGGACAGAAATTGATCATAATAAATGTATAAATTTTAGTATCACCTTGACACCATTTCCTCTTTAATGCAATATATATATCAGTTGGACCACTTTTTTTATTTTGTTGAAGTTTAAAATATAATTGAGAATGGAAATGAGGAATGTGTCAAAGAGACAACAACCCGACCAAAGAGCAGAAAACAGCCCAAGGCCACCATTGGGTCTTCAACACAGCGAGAAAATCCCGCACCCGGAGGCGGGCTTCAGTTTGTTTGGTTAAATGTCGCCGTGAAAACACGGGTAAACTGTTATTACCCCAGGAAGTTGTCAATGCGTTCGCGCTAATATGACCCCAAAAACATTTAGATTGAAATTTCCACCATCTATTATGTTATTTTAGTAATTCTGCTCTCCTATTTAAGTTTTAAAAAAATTCAACAGTTAAAGAAACTTAAGTATATTAGTATGCCAAACAATCACAGAACTCAGAAAAATTGATACCAAAAACTCCATTAACGAAAGTGAACTTAAAGGATAAGCTTCTAAACTGGTATTCGTCAAGTTTTTTTTAGATTAGAGAACCAGTTTAAAGTACAAGTTAATCATTTTTTTCTTCTTTTTTTTTCTTTTCTTCATTTGCAGCAAACTTGTCATCGTCCAGTGGTTAGTTAATTAAGGTTATATTTTTTTTTATCGTTACTGTTATTATTACTATAGGTAAATAAAACTTAGGAATTAAGATTATATGTATACTTACGTTGCTGTGACCTCAGAAACATTGAAATCTGCACTAACATTAAAGTTGTCGTTATGACTGCAAATCCTGCTGATAGCTGTCTGACGCTCGCCATAATGAAGAATAAGACGTTACCTAACAGTAACTGTTTGCTTTATACAATAACATGTACTTTTTTGCTAATTTCCAAAGAAAACGCAGGTCATTTCAAATTGTTTTTGTTATTTACAACCAGGAACATATATATTGACGGGACTTGACACTACCTAATTATAGCCGATTTTATCGTCGGGTCATAAATGACACTATACGGAAACGGACATGTGTAAAATACGTACTCGCTATTATCTTAATAATTTCTGATAATACCAATAAAATGTCATTCAAACTAAGTAATAAGTGATGCCAGTGTATCGAACTTGTACTCTGTCACTTCATATTTGTCATAATCGCATTCATTTCATCACAGAAGGGTACAGAATGCAAACGGGGTAATAAAAAATGGCGCCGATGGCAATCCCAGTAACCACGAATTTCACAAACCAATATAAAACACTTCACATCAAATAAATCACACTTATGTTGGTCATTTTATATGACAAAATATATCTACTTTACGACAAAACTAACCAATTCATTGTATTTGTTTAACGTTTGGAATATAATTATGTGGTTAATTTATTTCAAGCAGTTCCGATAGTTTTTCAGTCAGGCGCTTCCAAAATCCATAAATCTCGCGAAGTCTCGTAAAGTTCGGGATTTTATTAATTTCATACACAGATTAATTTCCCGTTAGATATACTGTTCCCAATTACAACGGACCGTAAATACCATGAATTGCCTGTTAGTTTTAAATGCATGTAAAGTTCTATTACTGTAACACTTAATATATTAATTAAAATTTTAAAGTGTCTAATCTATTTTTATTGTTCTATTGTTTCTTGCTTCGTAGCATATATTGTTTTGAAAACAAAGCTGACATTTAAAAGACAGTGGTATTAGTATAATCACTGATCTATATTTTAAAGGAGCATTAGCTACGAATTAGACGAAAAAAATTAAATATTATTTTTATTTTGTTTTTGTTTTAAACATTTATATAAGCAAAATATAGAATATATTTAGTTATTAGCAGTCAGTTTGGTTCAATTTCGTCAAAATAAGCTTAAAAAATTATTGGCTTGCAATTCAATAATTCAACTCATTTAGATTCGTATTCAGGCAACCCTTTATTTGACCTTTTGTGGAGATAGGTAGCGCATATGTTTAGCATGTGATCGGTATGTTCTTTCATTAAAAAGAAAAGAATGTCAGCATTGAAAAGTGAAACAAGGGAGCCACCAAGAATATCCATTTCATTGACTGATTCGGCCAACAAAAAATCATTTTTATACTGGTAAAATGATGATTACAAAAAATATATATGTTGACCAATAGCATGAAATCAAACATACTATAATTGCTTACATCCACTTCATTTGAACTTTGGTGGATAGTTGTCTCATTGGCAATCATACCACATCTCCTTATTTTTATATACGTAGGACTCTAAAGTGCGATGGGGACGCTAAAACGCGATGGTCACGCTAAAATGCGATGGTCTAGGCTAAAGTGCGATGGTTCGTAACGCTAAAGTGTGATGGTCTGTGCTATTCAATGGAATACGCTAAAGTCCGATGCCTCAATACGCTAAAATGCGTTTTTCCGCGAAAGTGCGATTGTTTACGAAAATGAGGAAGTTAGCTAAGTTTAAAAGCATTCTGACAATACACGCCGTTTGTACAAACGAAGTCATTCACATGCCGGAAAACAAGAATGTTTGTCCAGGGTTTTATTAGACAGCGATAAAGAAAATAGAAACCAAATGACCCCAATCCGGAACAATTATGGTGGGTTCTGGAAGAGGTTAACTTAATTTGGCTAATTTTTGTTTACAAGGGCTTCAAAACGACCAGTGCAAAACAATTCAAACGAGAAAAATAATGGCCTGTTTTATATACAAAACAATAAACGAAAAACAAATATGAAATACAGCAACAACGAAACGACTACCACTGAATTACAGCTGTAGGTTTGTTGGCTTGAAACAGGTTCATAAAGTTAATACTAGCTACTGCAATGTAATCATTTCACTTTTTTAACAACTATCGTACATTAAATGAAAGTAACAAGATGTGATATAACTGTCCATGAGACAACTATCCACCCAACACCAAATGTCGTTAATGTTGCAACTAATAACCGTACGGCCATCAACGTGGAGTCTTAGCCTACGACGCATAGCAAGTCATATAGGGCCATACAATGACCAGTAGAAAACATTTCAAAAGAGAAAGACAACGGCATGATTTATAATCCGGCAAAAACAATTATCAAAGAAATTAATAGGAACACTACAAAAAAAAACCAATTGCCTGAACTTATTGCTATACCATCGCACTTTAGCGTGTCATAAAATCGCACTTTAATATCGTGTCATATCATCGCGCTTTAAAAATCAAACAACCATCGGACTTTAGCGTCTGGCACCATCGCACTTTAGCGTGACCATCGCACTTTAGAGTACCATCGCACTTTAGAGTCCTACATATGTACCTAGAAAAATTGTCATTATACGATTTCTCATGTTTTATTGTAGTGACAAAAAATCACGAAAAAGTCGCTTATTTTAATAGTTTAATGGACCGACATACCTCACGGTTGAAAATTCACATAAAGATAGAGGAAACAGTATACTATCATTTTAGACCTGTTGTAGAGTTTTCCCACTGTGCAGTTTTTTTTTGTTGTTGTTTTTTTTTGGTAAAATCGCGATAAAGAGTGACTTTCCGATTATTTCTTTTTCATTATAAAACACGGGAACGCTTATAATTAATTCCTGAATAAAGATATCAGCAAATATTTCAGCTATAAAATGAAAGAGTAATGTATCAGCTTTCATTAAATGTCAAACTTAAATATCATATGAAAATGTATATTGAATGAAATGGAAGAACTTTAATTGCATGTGACATTTTTCTCAATCCCTACCGTCTGTCAAAGTATATTAAAGTTCGTACATACATCACCCGTAATCGATTTTTGACTAAAAATAGTGTAACAACCAATTCTTGAAAGTTTTCATATATCAAAATTTTACAGAACATACAAATCAATTTTTACAAGCTTTTTTATGATACTCATCATGTGCTAGCGTGTATTTATTCATGATTGAATAAATATTAATATGATTTTGTAATTTGCATTTTAGTTCTTATTTGAATTTACTTTAAAATAAAGATGATTTTATTCCTAATTCATATTTGTGTTTTCGTTTTCAAATAGATTAATTACGGATTGTAATTAATTATGAGTTGTACTATTCGTATTTTTTATTCACAGACTTTGACGATTGACTAGTTTCGTCTTGATTGTTACTCATTCTACTATTTTGATGGTCAGTGTTTTACGCTTGATTTGACCGCACACTTTCTGCTATTTCATTGGTTATATATCTTTTGGCGGTTTATTTCTATTGAAGTCTATAGTTAATTGTGGATTGATGTTCAAACCGAACAGACGTTTCATATATTTTCTTTAGTCTGTATTATTGCTGTTTCATATTTTGTATTATTTGTATTGGAGGAATTCCACGATTATTTCAGGTCAGTTTGATTACTTATCTCTTTAGATATTCTGTCTATATCTTATTTTCATCGTAATTTTATTACCGGATTAATCAGTATTTCACGCACGAGTAACTTTCCATTTTAGCATGACTTCGTAGTAAGAATGTGTATCGTTTGATTGGTGAATGAATGTTGTAAATTATTTAAAAGGTTAACGTAACTTTTATAACAGGCACATTATTATTTTACATTTGAGTTACATAATTTAAGCCTGGAAATAAATAAGTGTAAAGATAAACGTAATGAATGGCGAATATTTGAGCAGAATGAGTCCGAGAGTAAATGAGTAAAATGTTAACTTGATAAATACTTTTCAGAGTCTTTATAACATTTTTGTCTCAGATTAATAGATTTTAAGTACTATAAAAGTCTGTGCATAGTAACTATAATTTAGTATTTGTTATACAGGTTTTATGACAGAGTTCTAGATCTGCATATGATGTAGTAATACGTTGAGGCATAACCTTTGTACCTCATACGAGGTAAGAATGAGTGTTTCAGTTGTAGTTGCTTATTATTTTATTAGCTTAGTTATTTTGCTTTGTTTAGCTTAGCTTAGCTTTATTAGTTAACTGCTTTTCGCTATTGGCTTTATTAATGCTTATTTTGCTTAGACTGTTTGTTTATAGTTTTAACGGCTAATTCGTATATTATAATGTTATTGCTAAATGAGAAACTATATTTCTATTTTGCTCTTTTGACAAGTTAAATTCTGTTTCGAATGTCACAGGAAGTAATATTTTGATAAGATCAGGTTTAATTGTGCATTTTGTTAACTTCATAAACTGTGACGTATTTTACAGTTAATTGGTTAATTTTTGTAAGTACATAGATTACGTAAATTTATCATATTGATATAGTACATGTTTTAAAAGAATTAGTTTATATACGTTGTTATTAAATGTGATATTATATTACAGGGTTTCATTTGATGCTTCACGATAATAAAAACTATCCAGAACCCTACATAGTCTACTATTTATTTACGCCCCAGATAGTGCGACTACAATCATACAGCAGTTTTACTGTTAAATTTTCACCTCAATAAGTCTAAGTTGCGCTCCCTTTTCTTATTTTACCCTGGCTTATTTTTATGTGTTTTTTACGATGAAACTTTTTCCTAAAAGCTGTAAATAATAGTAAAGATTTGTATCAAGGTTGTCTTAGTGTCTAGATGTTTGACTTAGTACAGTTGTAAGGTTAAGTATCTTTTGAGGTGTTTTTATTCTTGCTGAGTTTTTCTAATAGACTAATTTTAAACCACATTTGAACACATCCGAATTAATCCGGTAAATGATGGGCAGTCCTGATTTCATTAGAACAAATAAAGTATCAGAGGTCGTGTTAAAAGCCTATACATGTACAAGTAGAATACATATTTATACATTTGAATTAGGGAAAAACCAATGATCAACAGCGTGTGCAAAACGTTCCGCGGACGAGTCAACTTGCGTTAAAACACGCTCAATGGCATTACCATCAGACTCAGTGACCGGTGCAAATATAAATGAGTGCCAATGAGACAACTCTCCAAATGTTTATTTGGCAGACAAAAGTCATACAAACGAGATAAACAATAATATAAAGGCATGTCGAGTCGATTGAATATACCGATTAAGTTTTAAATGCCACAAAGAACCAGTTCGACTATCCAATGGTAAGTTTATTTTCTACAGATTACTTCAAGGACAAGACGCAGCATCATTCAGCATGCATTGTTTACTACTCACTGATATGAAAATTGAACTTGCTTCTGATGCTTCAAATAAGTTGTAGCATGATTTTGCATTCCAAAAGATAATAGAGAGTCTACACGATGATCTGTTTGTGAAAAAACACATTTTCATTGTCGTATAATTTGCAAGATACATATTGTTCCTTTCTTCCAGAAGAAATGTGTAGAAAGTATACAACTGCTAAACTACAGCACAAACTAGAAAATCACTAAGAGGACAGGGCAGATCAAATATGATTTTTAGTAGCTCAATTAGTGTTGTCGAGGCTATTACCTCTGCCAGTTGTTTGAAAGCAGAGTTAAAATTGTCAAAGATAGAAACAAGTTTTTAAATGATTACATAC